AGCTGAGGTAGGACAGGTAGGGAGGTGAAACCATGTACTGGATGTCATGGTCATGGATCCTGATTTTATCCTAGGARCCCAGGAARGCTGTGAGCAGTTTTGATCCCYATMTCCCTGAATGKAACCMCCAGGYATCTTCTTGCATGAGTCAGCCTYCTKGGAGTCATTGTTAATAATTCCCTCTCTCTGACATGTCATACCTAACTCACCACCATATCTCACCAAGCTGGCCTTCTGAGTCTCTTGACTCCTCCTGCATCACACCATTGCCCTGACACCCCTTCATCCAGGTCTCTCTCATCTCTTGCAGGAACTTCCCATCCACTTTCTGCTTTACCCTCGTCTCCTTAGTCTGATTGGAACAGCAGGCAAATCCTCTGTTCAAAATGCAACAATGATCATGTTCATTCTACTGCTTAGCTCATGTTCATTCTACTGCTTTCCACTATTCCTGGGTTTAAGAATAAAATCCTGACCATGACCTCCGAGGTCCTGTAAGACTCACTTTCCTCCCTGACTCTCGTTTGTCCTTGCTTACCTCCCAGCTATCTTGTCCCCCTTTCATTGTTAGAGCACAGGATATCTGGCATAKGACTTTTGTAAATGCCACTCAACTATAAATGCCTCATCTTCTTCATTTTCTTCTTCTGAACTTTTCCCTATTTATTCTTCTTGTCATTCTCCCCCCAAATCTCAAATATCTCCTATCCAAATGAGATACATTTGTAATAGGTTCTAAGAGAGCCTTCTTTTTTTTCATTCTGAACATATCTCTCAAAACATAATTATGTTTATGTATAATTATTTGATTATTATTTTTGTCTCCCACTTTTTCACTTTACTAGAACAATAAGTTTAGTTCCCAGTATATTTTTATCTCCCCACTTTTTCCACGTCTGACCACCACTATGTCGGATAATAACATTCCATACCTATTTAAAACCAGGCAAAGGGTGGAGATCTAACTTTAAAAACTACACAGGCATTTTGGACAACACATTCTTGGCAATGGAACCTGGACAACATCTATTAAACATGGTAGGGARAGTTCTCACTTTGCATTATAAAAAGGATGGCCAGGTATCAATTGCAAAAAAAGACTGCAACTTTTTAAAATTTTAATTTGTTATGTATGACAGCAGAAATCATTACAATTCATATTACACATACAGAGCATTTTTTTTCATATCTCTGTACACAAAGTAGAATCACACCATTCATATCTTCATACATGTACTTAGAGTCTGGATGGTCATTCCATTTGGCCAAATGCCAAACATTTTCTCTAATTTAAGGATGCTGATTCATAATGGGGGATGGATGAGGGGGAAATGGGAGGACTGGATGAACTCTAGATAAGACTGCAATTTTTAACAAACCATTTAAACTATTTTCTTAAAGAGATTTTCTCCACTGTCACAGATCTTGAATTAGTCATCTGGAATCAGAGTTCCTGGTCAGTTATCTGAAAGCAATTCTTCTCATAATTGATGAACTTGGCTTCCACTTTGGGAAGAACCTTGGTGTTGGTGGTTTTGAGTCTTTTCCATTCTGTTTTGATTTTTATGCAGTTTTGGCTGGAGTTTCTTGTATWGAATTCTTCACTGGAGCA